CCCCAAAACCCCAAAACCCCAAAACCCCAACGTAAACATTTAAAATGCATATTATAGAATATTGAATAAAATATTAAAATTACCATTAATTTAAAATGCTACTAAATCAATGTCTTAAAACTCAAGCTAATTTTTCACTTAAAAGTAACTATATATACTCTAAATAGACTTATAGGAAATTGGTCTTTGAGCACCCTTCTAATTAGAGGTTTCTCAAATTCTCAGGTGCCCTAATAGATCGGCTCATTTGAGCAGCACTTTTAAATTCCACCGAGATACTTCCTAGTTACCTATAAATTGAACGACAATTTCCAAGATGAATCGGGTAAGTCCATTTCGCTTATTAATTTGTGAATGTCTAATTGTTAATGTAGATCAATATAGAGAGGAGCACACTAGCAGAGTGAAGAAACTAATAGAAGGATAGAGAATAGTATTCAGAGGGGATGTAAGGAATAAGGAGAATAATGGGCATTCTGAGATATTCTTTGTCTACCAAGCCAAGGATGAAAGAGATCCACACTCATTCATTATGGGAGATTAATACTATCAAAATGGATTGGTAAAGAACTGGGAAATAAAAGAATTAGACTTGATTCATGCAGAAAGAGACGACGAGATTATGATTAGCTCTAAATACAGATGATTAGAAATGCTCTATGTTACAACTAGTGCTCTGGAATGTTTGCAGTGGTGTTTCGACAATTATATCTATTTAAATTTTTAATATTCTTAACTATAATAAAATTAATAATGAGCAGTAGAGAAGAAAGTAAGGCTGCCTCTGCTCAGAATGAAAACTAAAATCATGACAGCGGCAGCCGAAACGCAAGTGGGCCAAACAATCGCCCACCTCCATAGCAAAATCAAGGATGAGAACCAAACGGATAAATGAACAATACTAAGCTTGTCTTGATGATATTCTTGGGAAGCATGGCTTTTGATCTTATCAGCAGATCATTCGCTTCAGAGTCTGAGGACTAGGAAGCAAAGCAAGTTAATCCTAATTTATCACAAATGAGCTAGAGTAGTGATGAAAGCATGCTACATAATACTGAATACTATTAAGGAAGTGATTCTGCAGATAATAGAGAGCATGCTTATATTTCCTCTTAAAGTAGAGGAGTAAAAATCACTGATAGTTCCAAGGGAGAGGAGTTAGAAGTTGAAGAAGACTTTGGAAATGGGAAAGTCAGAAAATCTGGAAAGAGTAAACAAAGAGCTGACACCTCTGAAATGGGTATGGTTGTTAAGATCCTATACTGTATATCTTGATCTTATAAAGGCAACTTCTTGTAACTCAAGAAGTATATTGAATCATCAGCACCAGAGGTATTTGTTACCGGAGGTGAGTATCCACCTAGTCCTAGCAAGCAAATGTTAGCTCAGTTGTTTAGCTTTGCCTAGATGGGTTTCATCCTATTCATATTTGTGGGCGACTCTATTTTCAGAGCCCTAAACAAGCCAGTCCCAGCTTTCTATCAAAGAATATCAGAAAATAGATGGACATGGGTCATTGGTGCCTGGTTTATAGGCGCTCAGGTCTAAAATGGCTTGCTTTCAAGTGGAGCATTCGAGATATATGTGAATGATGCTCTAGAATTCTCCAAGATTACGAGTGGAAGAATGCCAGATATGACTGATATCAGCAGAATTTTCAAGAAACACAGCATTGAGCTATGATTATTAAATCAGCAGATATCAAATCAATTACTTAAAGAGGGAGAGTGAAATTAATTCCTTGATAATCTTGAAAGGACTTTTGCAAATCGAAAGACCAAAAGCTTCTTGAATTTTCATTATCATTGTGTTAATTTCGATTTTCTTAATTTTTATTATGTGGCTTATTAGATCTACTGGGGTTTTGGGGTTTTGGGGTTTTGGGGTTTTGGGG